ACGATGGTACTTTATGCAGATTATTGATATGTATCTAAAATGAATTTAAACGAAAACCGAAAAAGTGGCCAAAAGTCCAAAGAACAGCTTTAAAATATTATTATTTATTATTAAGAATAATTTTATTGGACATAATCCAGTACTGGGTTCTAAGAGATACCTAGAAATAACAAATAATTATAACAAAACTTAGTTTTACAGATCAATTCAGTTAATAATCATTATCAAGCGTGTGTCCGTACTGGAAGCAGTAGACGCTTTAGAAACAAAATAAGCACTTTAGCAAGTTTAACAATTTCTGGAAAGACGAAAAGTACCTTTCTAGGGCATCTTTCTCACTGAGGAAATGAGAGGATTCAATGAAATTCGTTCAACAAATCTGTAATTCCAAATATTGTCGAGAATTTTCTTGTACTTTAATAAGCTCCACACAGAAATTAGACAATCCCCGAATCCAAAGTCGAAGCTGTCTAGAAGGGGGTGACACTTAGAAAAACATGGATATATAATAATTCCCACCGACCCCTTCCAACGTATCCTTATCTTGACAAAGCTTCTTTCGGCGGATGGAAGAACTTGAGTGCATCAAATAATCAGAGCTATGCGGGCGGCTGTTTGCTACTCTTAGGAACATCCATGCAGGATTGGTCTCTGATGAGGTGCCAGATAAAGACGGATACAACCCAAGTCAAGGTGAAACAGCAAGCACCAAAGACTACGCGGCTAAAAGGAATCTTAGTCGTAAGTTTGCGAACTCTGGATACCTGGCGAATGGCGATCTCCTGTATTAAAGAAAATCACGTGTCTGTGACATGCGGTGCTATGCCATAGGTACTTCATTTCCCCTAGCTACTCGTGGGACCTTCATGGAAAAGGAAAGTTAAAAAGAGTCATATGTGCATCCAGATAAACCTTCACCACGCAAAAGCTATTTCTCGTTTTTATTGTGCAACAATAAAATACAATAAGAATGTATTATTTGAAATGTCCAGAAAGCTACTAAAACGTGGCGAAGTCTAGCTTAATAGCTCTACTTAACCACATTTTAGAGAAATTTTAGATAAAATAAATTATATCATCATATAAAAAGTGAATACAACAAAACAAAAAGATATTTGTACCTAGCAATAATAACTAAAATAACATACATAGCTTTATGCAATAGATCACATTTTTGCTTAAAGTATGCCTTGTTAGAGATAACTACAAATCTTTGGGAATTATTATATTTGATGCTCGATTTAACGTGCTTAGCAGAAGGTTTATCAGAGAAAAAATCAACATAGCGCTACTTCAAGAGCCTGGGATCCATGCTAATTATGTAAAAGGACTCCCAACCAACACGTTAATTTATTCAAACGAACATGACAATCCAAGAGCAGCAATGCTGCTTAGTAACAAAATAAAGTTTGTCTCTATTCCAGAGTTCACTTCAAGAGACTTAGTAGCAGTAGTCGCAGAGGTGCCAACAAAATGAGGTAGGTATAATAGGCAATTTTTTGCCTTGGCTTACTTCCCTGAAGATACTGACAATCCACCCCCTGATGAAGTTGTAGGGCTAATCAACTACTGCAAAAGAAGAAACAGACACCAAATGATAGGCTGTGGCACAAATGCACACCATATCATTTGGGGAAACACAGACATTAACAAACGAGGTGCATAACTATTTGATAATTTGTCTGCAAATAATTAAAATAGACATTATCAGTAAAGATAATGATCCCACCTTTATGAATACTTTACAAATGGAGGTATTAGATTCGATCTTGGCTACTTCATTCATAAACAACAAAATAATAAATTGGCATGTTTCAAAGGAGGCCTCACTGTCAGACCAAGGACATATCAGGTTTGATGTAGAGGTGACTGTAATACGTCTATCAAAACTGAACGATTGGTGTCTCTACCGTGAACACCTAAAGTCAAAAGTTATGGACCTAGGTAATAAGAACATCATGAGAAGAGCTGTTCTGTGAAACGAACGGCTACAAATATAGGTGTTCTTTGGTCGAACAGAGAGCTTACCAAACTTAAAGCCAAAAGAAGACAATTCTTTAACATGGTCAAACGTACCGGAGACTGGGGCGAATATAAATAGGCATTGACATAACGAAACATTGAGAAAGTCTAAACGGATCATTTGAAGGAGGTTCTGTGAGGGGATCAATGAATTGCCTAGTTACCAGACTTTAAAAAGTTCTTTCAAAAGAACACTCAAATGGAATAGGGTTGCTGCGAAACTTAAGCGGTATCTACACCGAAAGTAGAGAAGAAAGTGTGAAACTGATTTTGCAAACTCACTTTCCAGGCTCTAAAATAGTATAAGTCAGATACTAAAATTGGACTCAGAAGTATCTACATCGACCTACAAACCGGGAAAGAATTCTCTGTGGAAAATCTTCACACTTAATGAGATTAAATGAGCTATTGGCACTTTAGAGCCATACAAATCACTCGAAGGGGATGGCAACTTTCCGATCCTTTTACAGCAATGAGTCGAGGCGATGACTCCCATTTAAAAAATGAACAAAATGGTCCATTTAATTTTTTTCTTAGTGATTAACTTAAAGATCATTAATATATTCAGTGTGTGTCAAAGTTGATAGTGTCAATTCGTTGATAACACTTCACTAATTTTATATGTGATAGTTTTCCAATACTACATAGTCATAAAAACTCAACAGACAAACAGATGTCTAATATTCTCTAATCTACATACGTTTAATAGCAAAAGAAGATCAAGAGTCATACTGCCTAGTTACTCAAAATGATGACTTAAATTCGACAATATCAAATTCGACATAATATTGCGTAACATGATCTCAACCAACTAACAAAAGTTTTTGGTATTTCTGTTTAATTTACTCAAAAAAAAATTGTTACTTTTGTCAATTTACTACAAAAGTTGCATGTTCAATTTATCGTGCTAATAAGGGCAATCGACTCTAAAAGCTTTAGTTTATTATTTTCACAATTTTTTTTTAGTGATATAGAGAACTACTGGGTCTTTAACTACATTTTTTTTATTACATTTTTTACATTTTTTTACATTTCTTTTTATATGGCTCCGTGGTTTAGAGGTAACGTAATTGGCTCGAAACCTAGGGGTCCCGGGTTCGATTCCCGGTCGAGGAACTGGAATTTTTACTGTCTCTTTCGTAAATAGCATACATTTATCAGTAACAATGAAAACTCATTAATGTGAATACGAAAATATGAGGGCAGACGGCAGATCCTTGGGGTACACCACGGTGAACTAAAAGTGTATTTGAAATTTGATCTTTCACAAATTCACAATTTTACAGAGGGCATTTACAAAAAGTTATGGGTGGAGAGCGTTAATTCACAAACGGTTAACTTTTGTATTTAATTTATGAGACAAAAGCTTTATTTCTAAGATCACACAGTATTAACGCAATATGTTATTTGCCTCACCGCGAAGACCAGTACTATGACATCAACAATTTTTTCGCTGCTTATGTTGTTGATTTATTTTTGGCGAAGCCAAATTTACTATCGTTTATAAATGAGTTATTCAAATTTTCAAACTATTTTTCAAAAAAAAAGTCATAACTATTTTTTTAACAATAGTCCTCAATCCTTGCTTCCAATAATCAAATTATCTATTAGTACGGAAATTGCACTTTTGTCCACGATTATATTATTATATTATATTCATGTTACTACTTTCAACATTATGGGATTTTAAAATTATTTGACTGGCTATATCAGACAACTAATATTTACAGAATTTTGTACTATTCGTTAGAGAAAACATACCTACTTTAAACAGCAATTCTTTCTACTATTTTCATAAGTAAATTAATTAACAGCAATTATGATAGCACTGGCAAAAGAGCCAAATTATCTTAATAGCTGCAAAAACAATACTGTTTTACCTTAGGTTAGAATAATTAACATAGCCGGAATATTTGCATGATGATAATTATTTCTATTTTTGTTTTACGCAAATGTGTATAATAAAATACAAAATCTGAATGTCAAGGCTAGGAATAATAATTAAAAATAAATTATTATTATACTATAGTTACCGTAAAATTCTATACACTTTTTTAAATTGATTCTGTGAATTGAAATTTTTCTAAATAAGACTTACAAGGTATATAAAACATTTCATTATAAATTAATATGCAAAGTTAAAGTAGGTAGCCATCATAATTTTCAATTTTAATATATTCTTATCCATTATAATCACTCACGTAAATGCATTTTTTATATAAATAAGTATATGTTTCAATCAATATGGAATGTAATTTCATTCTTTGTCATTGAATTTATAATTCCTGTTGTCTGATAACAAATATAATGTAGTGTATGCCTTGAATTTATTGGTTCATATACATTCATCAACCACTCTAGCAAACTGTTAAGCAAATAGCAAAAAGGCTTGCTAATAATAAATAATCATGATCAGAATTATCTATCTGCAGAATTATTCAAAGTAATTGATGAAACCGTTCAAGTCAGGCCATGGCTCTGGGCATATTTCACATGAAATGAATGAGGCCGAAAACAATTGTTTCTCCGATTTTGATTCACAGGCCAGTAATTCACATCTTCAAACAAACAAACAAACAAACAAACATACAAGTGAAGCTAATAAAAGCGTGTTAAAAAGAGTGGCCATGTAAGGCTGCATTAGAACCTGGAAATAAAAACATAGTACGAAAAACCTTGGTTGATCCAAAAAAGTCCTCCCATCTGCAATTTATATTAAACTTATTTGATAAAGTAGTTTCTAAAGGCTCTGTTAAAGAAAGGAGAGTGTTTTAAATATTTGTATGACAAGTTCCCGAGACGCATATAACTAATCTGCAGACGCATAAGTTATGGGAGTACTAGTTCGGCCTCAATTGGCAGTGATTGGCATATTGTGCTTACAGAGCCAATGATTTTCTTTGTCTTAATTATATTAAGCCAACTGTGCACCATTTCAGTATCTTTAATAACGCAACTGTACATCCATGGATGGAGCATATCCCAGCCAGGATTCGAACCCGGGATCTCTTTGTTTCAAGCTTAATGTATAAGCACTAATAAGCACTGAGCCACTGAGATGGCATTAACACGTAAGAATTTTACATATCTGAAGTTTACACTATATTATTTCGTAAATTCCAATTCAGATTGTATTTTCCAAAAGAAGAAGCCAATGTTAAGAAACGAAAATGGGCACCACATTAATTGCAGAATTGCAGATTTTCATATCCATCTTGTAAAAGTTCCTTACGTAATAGAGAAATATATAGATGTAATTTTTGAAATCAGCAAAAAGCATAGGAATCAATCAATACATGACATATTTGAAACTTTTTTAGTCGCCTTAGACACGTTTCTGCATATTATTCTACCTACCACTTTCTAAGTTTTAACTTATCGGTCAACTTGGGTTCAAGTTCGCCTTAAAACACCATGGTATTAAACAGCGAGTGAACAGTATATAAATAATAAACATACAACTTTAAAGTAAATATTAAGAATTTTTAATTTTTTTTGTTTGTCTTCCATGGATAAGTTGCGGTTCTGTATCGTATAATCCATATTACAATTTGATAATCGAACAAAATAACGAAAATATCCTCTAATGCTTGTTAATTGCGATATTTAGGATATATTTGTATACTTTTGTCCTCAAGTTTATATGCAAAAGGCATGAAGAAATTCTAGTATCCTATAATTAGCCAGATTACGTAGGTAGGCATATAGTTCCTTCTTATTAATTTTAATTGCATAAATAGGGTAAAATAATTGTTACTAATTTTTATTTTAATAAACTAGCTCTTTTATTATTACTGTCAGTAATAACCTGGAGTTATATGTAGTTAAAATTTTATCCAGTGGAACATGCATCAACATATGTATTTATTATTATAACTTTACCTAAATAAGTGTAATATTTCTAGCTTATTAAATATACACTTTCCCTATTTTCTGAAAAGATATTACAGGCGTATTTAAACCGCAAAAAAAGGGACAACATTCTATGTCATAAGATTAATTATCAGGAGTTGACATATCGGATACTTAAATAAATATAATAATTTACCAGTACGAGACATTAAATCTGCACATGTCTTAAGAAATTAACAATAAACATATCAAGAACAAATTATATATGTATTAATGTAAATTATGTAATATTGCTATTAGAACTAATTATATTTTTTATCATGATTTTTATATAGGTGTAAACTGCCATAGTAATTTAGACAATGTTCCACCAAATATTTCCATTTCTAGTCTAATTAAAACTAGGAATTATTCACTTCATCATAATAAAATTAATGCAAAAAGTAATTAATCTGTTACATATACAATATGCAAATATAGTTATATGTTTAACATAGTCACAAGGAAAATCCATTAAATATGTATGTTTCTGAAGCAAGGTCAAATAAAATGTGTGAAAAATTTTCAGACATCTAAATGTGTGTATGCAGTAATTACATATATCTTGCAATATAACAAATTAAAATGTTTTAATTATCCTACATAATTATACACAAAAGAATGAGTAACTGTTAAAAGAATAATTAATGATCTAAGATTATAAAACGTTTCAGTGATGCTGATTATTAATAAATTAGCGTATTCAATATAATGTGTGGATGCTGGTAACCAACTAATGCAACACACTGTATTCTTAAAATAATCTTGTACGGAAGGAGGCTACATATATTAATTTACGATTCCTGGAGTGAGAAGTTATTTCGCAATACAGTTTATCATTGGTTTTTCTACAGTTTTTTATTTCATTCCTGCTTGTTGTAAAATATAAAAATTGTCAGTAATAAATTGATTTTATTTTTCAGTATATGAAAGAAAGTCATTAAAAAAGTTGTTTAGAATGAAATTTGTGCATACCAAATTTCAGAAAAATAAATTTGCTTTATTGGGACTGCCCCTTATTTCACTAGTAGTCAGTTTTTTGTTGAAAATAAGATAACATGTTAAGAAAAAAAGTTGTTGGTAATACCAATTTATTTTAGAAAATATATTTGTGATTTCAGAGCACTCTCAACTTACAAACATAATTTTTAAAAATTCAAAATGAAATACTAATTTATTGAAAAAAGGAGCAGTTCTAACAAAGTGAATTTATATTTCAGAAATTTAGTAAGGAGGCACAAATTGCATTCTAAATAACTTTTTACATATTGAAAAATTAAGCTTGTTTATTAGTGACAATTTCTATGATGATTTATGATGACGATTACATGACACACTTCAGTTGTTATCTGTCGGTCGATGTATAGAGTACTAATACATAATAAATAATGTTGAGCGTAAAGATTAGAAAACGACCGTACGCTGATAAAGTGAATAAATTTATCGGTGAATATTCGGATTTATTCTATGATGGATGTAAAATAATTTGTAAAGTTTGTGATAAAGACTTAATGTGCTGGAATAAATACGGCTGCAAAATTCATGTCAATAGTAACCGACATAAAAATAAAAGAAATGGCGTGTCTTCTTTGGAACATCAGTTTATGTGCTGATTGCCTGTGATGTTCCCCTGCGCACATTGGGTAAACCAACATTTCGGGAGTTCTGGAATAAATACAATCCCCAGGTTCATCGTTTCGTAGATATGTACCAAGTGTTCGTGAACACATTGTAAATAGGATTAAATGTGCATTAAAAAATACACGGCTGTGGTTATGTGTAGACGAGACGACAGATTGTAAAAAAAGATTCTATTTTAAATGTTATAGTACGTGTACTCGACCCTGTTAAACCAACATTTCCATTTTTACTAGCTAGCAAAAGACTAACTGCATGTACTGGCGAAACAATTACGCGAGTGGTGTTGGAGACTTTCGAAAAATTTGAACTGTCAACAAGTCAAGTGTTGATGTTTGTGACCGACGGTGCTGCGACAATGCATTTGGTGGGCCGTTTTCTTCAAAGAGACGATTGTAGGTTTTTATATGTTACGTGTAAAGTGCATGCGTTCCATCTTGTAGCAGAAACGATTCGAAAATGTTTTCCAGAGGTAGATGCATTAATAGCAAATACAAAAAAAAGTATTTCTCAAATCTCCTAAACGGCTTCGAGCATTTCACACACTGTGTCCTGGTATTCCGGAACCACCGATTCTTACACGTTTTGGAACGTGGCTGAAGGCAACTTTTTATTATGCTGATTATTTTCAACAAATAAAAGCTGTGATACTACAGTTCAACCCTAACGAGGATGCAGCTATTAAGGAAAACCAGACAAGCTTTCAAGATGTTTCCCTTGAAACAGATTTAAAAACTATTTATAACAATTACAGAGGACTACACGACGCAATAGAAAAATTGCAAAATACTTCGTTGTCGTTAGTAGAATCGCTGCAAATAGTACACAACGTAAATACACAGCTACAGACTATGAGTGACGCAAAAAATAAGCCCGTTATTGAAAAATTCGAGAGTGTATTACGGAAAGATTCTGATTTTACCAAATTAAGACAAATTTGTGATGGTGCATCTACAGTTGCGTTAAGTGAGTTCACAGAGTGTTTTACTTATGCCTGTATTACTTCCGTAGATGTCGAACGGTCTTTTTCAAAATACAAACCTATTTCTTCACCACAGCGAACACCGCTTACTGAGACAACTGTAGAAACATATCTGATGCTACACAGTTATTATAGAAGTGCTCCAGTTTGTGATAACGACAACCAAGCTACTTCATAAATCTGCTTAAGAAGGTGAGTTTTGTACATATTTTTGTAAAGTATACCAGTATTAATAAAATTTATTTCCATTTATTTTAATTATCTATTTATTTATTATTAGTTATCACTTAGATATACAATTTACATGTGTGAACGTCATTTAACGGTTTAATAATAATGTGCAGCACTAAGCTTACAAAATATAAGGAAATACATAAAAAAGAATTTAAAGCGAACGAAATAGTACAAAAACATACATCACAATATATAAAATATTTTTGTTTTTATTATTGTACTTATTCAAGTATTATGATGTGATATACCCAGTACGTCTCTGTAGGATTAATGACCTTGGCCAGGCTTAATTATAACTTTTGAATGACTGGGACGTATGAGGCATAGAACTGAATTTTTTGAAGTGATATGCAAATTTTCTTCCTGGCATATTAATTATTAACATATCCAACTCGAAAAACCTTGTAAGTGATATCATTTAACATTCTAATTTTTTTTGCTGTAAAATTATGTGTATTTGATTATTCCTCAATTCTTGTTAATGTTATAGGGAATAGTTATTATTTTGAATTATTTTCCGAAAATATTTGTTTTCTTCATCATTCACATATATAGTACATTATATCAATGTATCTAAATTCAAAAATTGATCTTCAATTGCTTAATAAATTTAATCATATGAAATTACATTAACATGCATGGTAAAACCTATAACAAATAAAGGGGCGTCTTTAGCTCCAGACCACAGGCCTAATATTGTCAAATATGGGGGCGTGGTTTGAATTTTTATTAGAAACTTATTATAAATTGGTCCACTCAACAATGCTATAGGAGTTGACAGAATTAAATTGTGTAAACATTGTATGGACGTGGGGAGAAAAATGTCGGTGCTTTCTAAACACATAGGTAGGATTGATCGGTTTGAAATAAGTACCAATACTAGAACATCAGTTATCGGGTAAGTAACGTATTTAATGGATTATTTCATCATAATAAATTTGAATACATAAATATCTTATGTAAAGGCAACTGCGAGTAAGCATGTACTTCGAAAGAAATGATTTTAAGTGGAGTGTACAGCACTCTAGTTTGATATTAAATTATTAAATAATAGTTGTTTATGATACAAGTGCTAAAAATGACTTTTCATTTTGTGAGTGGAGAAGTTTGCGAAACGAGCGTAAGCGAGTCGAGCAACTCCACGAACAAAATAAAGTCATTTTTAACACGTGTATCATACATTGTTTTTTCTACAAACACTATTAAAAGAACAATAAAGTTTCTTTAAAAAGATTTCAAATCCTTTTAATGGTTACCTCATAATTCTAGTAGTTTGTAGGATTTATGAAATAAATAAATCAAGTTTGCCCGTTGT